GAATGACTAGCACATAAGTGTGAGGGGAACCTTTACCTTTAATGGGAAAGAGAAGGGGTCTGCAGTTCACCCTTAATTTTATTATCAAATTTAGAAACCACCCCCTGCAGAGGGATGAATAATCCGTGAATGATAAAAGTGACTTGGGACAAGCAAAACTATGACCCATCTGCTGAGATTCTCCTTTTTGCAGAACTATAAAGATAAAGGAAGCCTATTCTCCTAGCCATTCTTAAGGAAAACCCTTAATGGGAGAATGAGGAGGAGGAGGTAAGCTTGGAAAAGCTGCAGTCAACAAAAGCCATCAATAATCTTCTCTTCCCTAGAAAATGCTCTCCTTGTTAAGTACTGCTAGGAAAAATGTTCTCAAGGGTTTCAGCAATTTTACAAGGCGAACTGTGTGTGGTGGTGGGTTCCCACTACAGGTAGTCCTCGACTTACAACAGTTCACTTAGTGACCGTTCAAAGTGACAATGGCACTGAAAAAAGTGATTTACGACCATTGTTCACACTTACAACCATTGTAGCATCCCCATGGTCACATGATCAAAATTCAGATGCTTGGCAATTGGTTCATATTTATGACCTTCGCTGTGTCCCAGTTTCATGTCATCCTCATTTGGACCTTCTGACAAGCAAAATCAACTTAACAACTGAGTTACTAACTTAACAATTGCAATGATTCACTTAACAACTGGTGCAAGAAAGGTCCTAAAATGGGGCAAAACTCACTTAACAAGTGCCTCACTTAGCAACAGAAATTTTGGCCTCAATTGTGGTCGTAACTCGAGGACCTCCATGCAATTCCATTGTACAGAGTTACTGCAGGGTGAGGTCACATAAAATTGCTTTGTCAAAACAGATTATTGACAACCCAAACTGAAATGTAGTTACTCCAAGTGTGTTGGATATGTTCGCCGCCTTATTTGTAGAAATAATAAAAGAATAGAAATAAATAAAACGGCATATCAGGTAGAAATGGAATATTCTATAAGTAAAGTCTCTTCTATCTTTTCATCTTTAAAAAAAAAAATCTTTGCAAGGATGCCTTGAGTTTTTGCTGCCTACCTATAGGAAGTGGGTGGTTCTGTCTTGGCATCCTGTAATCTGAATCTTACTCATTTGATTTATAGTTAATCTGAAAAACGATTTGCATTCAATGCGAATATATGAAATCTTGTTTATTGCCTTGAACGCACGCTAGGAGTCTGTGACTCCTACTACATTGACCAGAGAAGGAATGTGGCGAATTTTGGCAATTTTGGGATGGAAACGCAAGTGGGCTGTCAAACTCCTGGCCTGTGGGCTGGATGCGTCACATGCTGACCACGCCCACACCCGGTTTAGCGAAGGGGGAAAAAAAGTCCCATATGTCATGTGACACCGCCATGACGACATGAGTTTGACACCTCTGATCTAGATTCTCTCCATTCCCCCAAGGTTAAATTTATTTTTAAACACTTCCACTCTGCTGTGCGTTACAGCTCACCTTTTGTGAATTTCCAGCTCTGCAGAGTCCCAAGACAAAAGAACAGAATAATGATGGTGTGATGCTGATGATCAATTGCCCCATCTGCCTGTCTTTGAGGAAAAAGCCTGAGGCCTAAAACATGAACAGAGTTCATTGTTGAGTCAGGGAAGAACAGATCCTCCAGGTCACGGTGGGCTAAGCAGCGAATGTGACTGCAGGCAGGGCAATATGGAGTGCTCCCTCTCTGCCAGGACTTGCCAACGGGAAATATCGCTGAGGGGTGAGAGCCTTCCAGACACTTCTCTGGCTCCGATGAATGATTGGGCTCTTGAGAGTGAACTGTGAAAAGCAGGGACACCTGCTAGCTCACTCCGCAGCTGCCGAGGAATGGGCTGGACTATCTGGGATTCCTACCGTAGTACTTTGATGAGAGAAGGAATGTGGTTTGTACCAGCTTTACATTTTCCCCCTCCTGTTCTGCTCCAGGTGGCTGTGCTAACCATAGTTAGGCCAATTTTTAAAGACAAATTCTGCACAGTCCAGCACAGGAAGGCTCTCAAGGAAAGTTGTAACGGCAACAAGAAGCAGTCGACAAGATTTTCTCGTCAGCTTTTCCTGCAAGCATCTGAGGAATACCATTAGTGACCAAGGATAGAAGCCACAAGACTGCGTAGTTTCTTGCAGTGCATGGTCTCTGCCGAACCAAGGAAACAAAAATGTGCAGTAGGCCAAAGGAGGCCTCATATAGATGCCTCGTACCAGAAAAATTCTGGTTTGGTACCTTCATTGAAAAGGTAGTGGTCTAGAGGTGAAGACGCTCACTTCCCACTGGGAAGATTGAGAGTTCAATCCTAGGCAGTGACAGATGTTTATCAGGGCACAAAGAAAATATTTGCTGCGAACTCCATGTAGGCATCAGGAAGAGCATCCGGGCAGTAAATGCTTAATTATATTCAGTCGCTCTTACTTCACCCCAAATCAAGGGATTACAAGATCGTAAAAAGAAAAAAAAATATGAAAAGGTAACAGGTGGAGAGAAGGCCCAGGAAGTCCAAGATCCTCTGAATGCAAACATATAGTTTTGAAGTAAAAATGAACCAATTACCTAAAGCTGCTTCCTAACTTCATGCAATGATTTGCTCATCTGGGTATTCGTTTCACTGTTGAAGGAAGATATTGTCTTCATGAGCACTCACATCCAGAAGATGCTAATCCTTAGATTAGGATTAATGGCTGATTGTCCACTAACTATCAGGCACACACCACATGCTTGGAGAGGGGCTGGAGATAAAGGATAACCGGTTTTTTTTATGTGAAAGGCAAATTCTGCCTTTGGCCACTCAATTCATATCTTGTTCTGAGTAAGAACTGCATCTGGCTTTTGAATGCCATGTTGGGAGACAGGCAAAATCCCCCAAAATAGTGGATAGGATAAAAATTCCTGTTAAATGTCACGGCAGGTAGTCCTCGACTTACAACCATTCATTTTAGTAACCGTTGGAAGTTACAAAAGCACTGGGAAAAAAGTGACTTAATGATCGTTTTTCACACAACAGTTGCAGCATCCCTATAGTCACGCGAGCAAATTTCGGACACTTGGCAATTGGCATGTATTTATGACAGTTGCCGTATCCTGGGGTCATGTGATCCATTTTTGAGACCTGACAAGCAAAGTCAAAGGGAAGCCAGGTTCACTTAACAACCATGTTACTAACTTAACAATTGCAGAGATTCACTTAACAGCCGTGGCAAGAAAGGTTATAAAATGGGGAGTCAAAACTCACTGAACAAATGTCTTGCTTAGCAATGGAAATTTTGGGTTCAATTGTGGTCATATGTCAAGGACTACATGTAATGCGATGGTTATTCCTTTGTGTATTAAATAATTTCCTCTTTCTGCTATATTAAGCATTAGAATTTCCAAAGGATTTCTGGAGCTCTCTGATTGCCACAGCCAAGGTGGGCCTGAGACCTCTGGTATTTAGAGCCGCGGTGGCGTAGTGGTTAGAATGCATTACTGCAGGCTACTTCTGCTGACTGCCAGCTGACAGCAGTTTGGCAGTTCAAATCCCACCAGGTTCAAGGTTGACTCACCCTTCCATCCTTCCGAGGTGGGTAAAATGAGGACCCAGATTGTTGGGGCAAGATGCTGACCCTGTAAACCGCTTAGAGAGGGCTGTAAAGCACTGTGAAGCGGTATATAAGTCTAAGTGCTATTGCTATTTATCCATTGTTGTGGCCCGCCAGCGGCCTGTGCAGATCGTGGCTGATCCTGACGATGAGGAGGCTGGTGTGGTGTTGCGTCAGCAGCCGGCACAGCCAGGGCTCGCATCGGACAGCAAGGAGGCTGACGAGGATGTGGTGCCAGAGGCAGAGACTCAGCCAGGGCCTTCAGAACCTCCAGAGGCTCCTTCAAGTGGAGAGAGCGAAGTGGAGGAGCCTCTCCTCAATGCTTGAGCACGCAGGGCTGCCAAAAGGCAAGAGTGGCTACTCAGGAGGAGGAGGTCTCCTCAAGAGTAAGGCTTGAGGATAATTGGCCACTCCCTTAGCCTATTTAAGTCACACGTTAGTTAGTAAGTTAGTAAGTTTCTTGCTGGAAACAACTTGTAATTATCATCAGCATTTTTGGAAAAGTCTTATTGTATCTTGTTTTCTGGGCTGGTTGCCAACCTTTGCCGGACTTTGGTTTATTCTTGCTACTTAATAAATTTGATAAGGAATGTTGGTGTGTGTCAATATCCTCGGGAATCTGGAGTTGGGGCAGAACATCCATGCAGATTTTTAGACCATTTCAATATGACACATTGTGCATCTTTAATGCGTGCCTAGTGGAACTGCAAAGCTTTGAAGGGCTGCTTTGGTTTTGACATTGTTTCCAGCAAAGCGTCTTTTAAAAGTGATTTGTAAAGTGTCACAGCTCCTTACAGTATTGATAAAGAGGAATGCAAACAGTTTGGCCACCAGCATGTCCAGTGGCTGAAAGAGGTTCAGCCCAGTGGTGAAATGTAAAATTTGTTACTACCGGTTCTGTGGGCGTGGCTTGGTGGGGGTGTAATGTGACTGGGTGAGCGTGGCCAACTTTTTTAAAGCATTTTTTTACAACCTATTCGGGTGAATAGGTTGTTAAAAAATGCTTTTAAAAGGTTAAAAAAAGGCTCTGATGATCACAGCTGTGGCGCATGACCGTCAGAGCCTTTTTCTTACCTTTTAAAAGCAGGAAGCAACAATACCCGGGTGGGTGGGCGGAGCCTCATGCCGCCATTGCTACCGGTTCTCCTAACCACCTGCCACAATCCCTATCAGATCGTCCGATCCGGTCCGAACCGGGAGCATTTCACCCCTGGTTCAGCCCCCTGGACGTGTGCTTTGCAGAAGACTTTCCTAGTGACCCCTGTAACTCAGTGGAAGAGGCTTTTAGCTGCTGGATGTGCTGGCATGACAGGTCTCAGAAGTGACCCAAAATGCCTTGATATATGGCAACTCTTGTCTTCACTGCACCTTGATGACATGAACTGTTTTATATTTGCAGCGTTCAAGAACATGGAGTGTTGTGTAATCAAGGAAACCTTTACAGCAAAAAAGAAGTGAAAAGAAGTAAGGCAAAGAGATAAGAAAAATAAAATGAACCCACCTAAGACTGGCTTATACCAAACCATTCACTATATCTTTCCATTTTTCCTTTCCTTTTTCTTTTTTAAGAAATCACTCCTTCATGATTCATCCATCGCCTTCTGTTCTTCAAACTTCTCACTTCCCTTTTCCCCCCCAGGTTCATTACTTCCATCCAGCCTCAGCTTTCTTGGGCTTCCCCTTCTCAATCCATTCACTCTTTGCCATTTGATTCTCATTCGTTCTATCCACAGGGTGCCCCTTTCTCAATGTCCTTATATCCAACTGGTCACTCGCTATTTAATTGAATCTACATTAATTTAACTTCCACTCGTTCTTGACCATATCTCTTTTTATTTTAAGTACCCCATTCCCACTGAATTTGTCTTAGTTTCATAGATTTCTTGGCCTATGCAACTCTCACTTCCATGTAACAAAATGAGTAACAGCATACGCTTATTCACTGCCGCCTTTTCATTTTTCAACAATGTTCTTCACAATAGATGACATACATTTCTAGCAACATTTATGTTTGGAAAATTGCCCATTCATTTCTCAGGTAGCAAATACAACATCATCTGCATTTAAAAGTTCACATAGATCCATGTCCCCAACCAACAATTTCTCTGACATCACCACTATCATTCCTTATATATTTGTCAATAAATACAGTAAACAAACAAGGAGGCATAACATATTCTTGCTCGCTTCCTGATCTATGCTGAACCATTTGTATGTGTTCTATTTAGTTCTGCCTAGAACAGTTATGGCTAACCTTTTTGCCATCGTGTACTAGGAGCAGGAGGGGGGAGTCATGCGTGTGCATGCCCACACCCATAATTCTATGCTCCCTGCCCCCGCACATGTGTGTGGGACCCCCCCCACGCTCCCCACGCTCCTGGCACACGATGGCACAATAGGCCCATTTCTTTGCTCTCCCCAGCCTCTAGAGCCTTTCTAGGAGTCTGGGGAGGGTGAAAACAGCCTTCCCAACCCCCGGAGGCCCTCTGGTGGCCGAAAATGGCCCGTTTGCCAACTTCCCGGAAGTTTTCTGGTGTCCGGAGGGCCTCCAGGGTGGCGGCGGCCATTTTCACCCTCCCCAGACTCCTGGAAAGGCTCTGGAGGTTGGGGAGAGAGAAAAACAGGCTTCCCCAGCCCCACCCCCCCGAGGCCCTCCGGAGGCAGGAAACAGCCTGTTTCCCTACTTCTGCTGGGCCCAGAAGGCCCAAAAATCAGCTGAGCTCGTGTGCCCGCCGATATGGGTTCGCCATCACAGGCCTAGAACATACACTGATCTTAATCACATTCAAGCACCAACCTTCAGTATTAGTGCAAATCCTGCCCATATTCACATTATCACATGATTTCTCAGAAAGAAAAGGTATGCCAAATTCACCAGAATAATTTTTGGCTCGTCTGCTGTGAGTTGCAGTTTTCTGCCCAAACCTAGAATGAAGCTGGGACGGAAAGATCCATGATCAATTTTGTCTCTTCTTCACTGGTTCCTGTGAAGCGGAGAAGTGATGATGATGATGATGATTCTTTGATTCCCCAGTGCTGTCCAAAGCCTCCATTCTCTTTCAAACAATGATCAGATATTGATATATTTATCAGTTATAAGCAGCGTCAAACACAAATGCAGCTTACACAGTAAAATTAAAACATCCAGGTAAAATAACAACTAAAAATAAAAGATGGCAGAAGAATAAATGGGCCACATTGGATGGATAATGAATATATTTCCTATCACCGCCTGACCTTCCTGCAAGGCCTGTTGAAAAAGGCAGTTTTTTATGGGTATATGAAAGTCCACCAAGTTTGGGGGCCTACTTGACGTTGGTTTCCTTTGTGATATCCTCTTAAGATCAGCTAAGAAATTCTTGTGTATACATAACAATAAAAGGATAACTTGTGGCTGTTCACTTTTCCCTGATTCTGGAAATCCTATCCTATGTAAATTGCCAAAGATTGTGCTCTGGCATTTTTGGAATCTGTTTGAAAAAACCAACCCCCCCCCAAAAAAAACCACCTCATTTTTCAGCTATTACAACATTCAGCCAACTACAACAGAGTTTCAAGTAAAACAATTACAATGGAATTACCTAATTAAGGCAGTGGCATAAGTTAAGACTTGAAAGTTAATTACATTTTTTTTAAAAAAAAAACCCTTATAATAGTAATGTTCCAAACTGCACACAGTGGCTTTGGAAATAAATCCCTTTGGACAGATATTTGAGTAAATAGGCACTGGAGCCCGTTGTAAATTGGGTCTCATTTCTAACAGCTGGACAGAAACCAAAATACTGGAGCTGGAAGCTTAGGAAACAGAAGACATTAGAAGGTTTAAAAACTTAAAATACTGGTGCTCTTTCAAACATATTTTCTTAGATTGACGTGAACAGATTTTTAAATTACCATTAAAAAGTATTAAATAAGGACTTCTTTCCCCGGTTTCTAAGTGTAACCATCCTTGGCACCAGTGGTGAAATCCAATTTTTTTTTACTACCGGTTCTGTGGGCATGGCTTGGTGGGTGTGGCAAGGGAAGGATACTGCAAAATCTCTATTCCCACCCCATTCCAGAGGAAGGATACTGAAAAATCTCCATTCCCACCCCACTCTGGGGCCAGTCAGAGGTGATATTTGCCGGTTTTCCGAACTACTCAAAATTTCTGCTACCGGTTCTGTCAGAACCTGCTGGATTTCACCCCTGCTTGGTACCCTCTGGATGTCTTGAACTACAAGACCTATAGTTCACAGCCAAAATTGCCCTATTACCTGAGAATTACAGAAGTAGCAAACGAGCATATCTGGAGAGCACTGAAGAAAGCTGACTTGGAAGTAGATTCTCATTTGTGCTTGGTGCGCCACACATCGGCATATCAGACCATTGGGCACACTTATTAAATAGTCTGGTAAGTGTCTGTGCATATGCACATAGATACGGAGCTCCCCTCACTGTGTTGGTTAGTGTTGGTGGGAGCTGGAGATCCACATGCAAAAGTCCAGAGCAGGGGTGAAATGTTCCTGATTCGGACTGGATCGCCCGATCCGGTAGCGATGGCGGCGGGTGGTTCGGAGAACCTGTAGCAAAAATCCCTGTGCCACCCTCCCCCCCCCGATGCCCAACTGAGCCATGCGATCATCAGAGGCTTTTTTTTTTTACTTTTAAAAGCATTTTTTCTACAACCTCTTCGGCCGAAAAAATGATTTTAAAAGTAAAAAAAAGCCTCTAATGATCGCGTGGCTCAGCTGGGATCGTCAGAGGCTTTTAAAGGCATTTTTTCCCCTACAACCTCTTCGGCTGAAGAGGTTGTAGGAAAAAAAATGCCTTTAAAAGCCTCTGACAATCCCAGCTGAGTTGCCTGATTGTCAGAGGCTTTTAAAAGCATTTTTTCTACAACCTCTTAAAGTTGTAGAAAAAATGCTTTTAAAAGTAAGAAAAAAAAAGTTGGCCACGCCCACCCAGTCACATTACCCCCTCCACCAAGCCACGCCCACAGAACCGGTAGTAACAAATTTTACATTTCACCCCTGGTCCAGAGGTTGCCTTTTCTAATTTAGAGTAGAAACGGATAATGTCCTGAGCTTCTGGGGATAACAATGTAGTCATTGCATTCTGGACATTTTTGGCATTTTTATGCTGCTATGAAACCTCAAAAATTCTGCCTCAGTTCATACTCATTAAAAAAACAGAATTCTTTCCCCAAGCAGAACACAAACATTCAATTCTGTAGTCAACTGTGAGCATAGCCATGGACAACTGCCAAAATTATATAAAGCAAGGGGAAAATGGGAGATGCACTGGCATCCTGAGGGGGAAAAAAACCCCCCAAGATGGTGCCTTTGTATTCATGTACTAAAGACGAATGATTGAAGGGAATGGCTTTTTTTAGCTCTGGCAGTGGGACAATATTGCATCAGGAGGAATTAAGCTCCTAATTTAGTTGAGGGGCTTGGCAGTAGTTATGAGACAGACAATCCCCCTTCTCTAACTGCCACCTTACATCATTTCTGCCGGAGGCATAGCGTTCATTCTTCTGACTGGTAGGCCTGGCCCTGCCTGAATTTTTAAATGAGGAGTCCCAAATGAGAGGAGATGGAGACATGAGCACCAAAACAATTCTACATGCCTCCCAGAGATGGGAATGAGTTGGAGAGCCTTAAAAACCTAAAGCATGAATGAATGAATTCCATTTTTTAAAAAAATCAACACTGCTGTAATTTAATTTGTTTTATATGACTTTGGCAATAATCTGTGACCTTAAAGAAAGGACTGTCACTGGGCACTTGTAGATGAAGTGCTCTTTTTCAACTGGGTGACCTTGGGCCAGTCGTTTTCTCTCAGTCCTAGGAAGGAGGCAATGGCAAACCACTTCTGAAAAACCATGCTAAGAAAACGGAAAGGAATCGCCCAGGCGGTCTCCGAGAATCTAATACAATTGAACAGAAAAAAAAAACAAAAAAACCTCCCTTTTTAATGCAATGTGAAATTTCAACCATCTCCACTAGGTGGCACTTTGGACCATTATCCCAAGTAGCTCAGGCTACTGCTGAGTAATAAAAGCTGGATGATGCTCAGTTGTTTAAGCTGGTGAAGAGATTCTGACTAGCTGCTAGTAACCATCAAGAAATGCTTGGAAAACAGAGGTATTCAAACCCCACTGCTGCAAAAGCTTAAATGGAAAGCAACACATTATTCCTTTTGATAAAAAAACCAAGGCAAAGATTTTGACCATAAATTTCTTTTCTCCTAATAAGAATGTATACAGCCCATGGGGCTAATTAGATTGCAATATGATTAATACATAAGTATAAAATAATTAGGTCTCACTGTAACCAAAGCTAGGAGATTGGGGTGAAAGTTTGACTTTCTAGACAGATCTGTGTACAATCATGAAAAGTCAAAATCTTATCCTAACTTCCTCACCTGTAGACCCAGGACTTGTTCTGGGATGTGAGATGTCTTCTTGGATTCTCTTGGGGTGACTCTCACTTGGAGGAATACAGAGAACTTACAGGGAAAAGAAGACCTTCATCTCTGTGGACGGAGAAAGAAATATGCAATATCTTATAACCTTA